TTTATGTGATTTCTTATAATAAGAGATTAAACTAGGGTATTATCTCATACATAGGATATGAGATATTAACTCCATGAGATCTACAGAACTGTAAACCTATAAACATGTTCATTGTCATCCGGCTTGTGCCATGGAGACGACTGTAAAAACCTGTTGACCTAGCCCTGATGTGACCACCATTGTTATTTTTACAAATACTTATGGCAGGGGACTATATTAAATAGAGTATCATTATGGCTTTTTCAATATCACACCTCTATGAACCCGAGACACCAATTTCCTTTCTCTATTGGTACTGTACAGGTATACCTAACAACAAAATTATTTTCATTTACCTTTGTTTAAAGTTATTGCAAATGGATGGTATTTTTGTTCGAGCATATTGTTTTTCTTTAATTGTTTAACATTTCTTACCGATATAACATGTTACTTTTATTATTCTTCCCTTAGTTTATTTATTTTGTATTTACATTGTGTCATAGGTCAAATTTATTTGTTCAGTGTATGTTCAATGGTGTTAATATGTCCTTTGATTGAGTTAAGCTATTTCAGTTGATATTTTATAGTGTGTCTTTCTATGTTGTGATGTTACACTATTGTTTCAGAAAAAGGGTGAAGGTTTGGTACCATTAAAACGTTTAAACCCGCTGCATTTGTTTGCACCTGTCCTAAGTCAGGAATCTGATGTTCAGTAGTTGTCGTTTGTTGATGTGGTTCATAAGTGTTTCTCGTTTCTCGTTTTTTATATAGATTAGACCGTTGGTTTTCCCGTTTGAATGGTTTTACACTAGTAATTTTTTGGGGCCCTTTATAGCTTACTGTTCGGTGTGAGCCAAGGCTCCGTGTTGAAGACCGTACTGTGACCTATAATGGTTTACTTTTATAAATTTTGACTTGGATGGAGAGTTGTCTCATTGGCACTCATACCACATCTTCTTATATCTATATAGGGTACAAGTACATGCGATTTTATATAAAAGGATTAGATGTAAGTTCGTGCGACCTTATACAAAGGGGTTAGATACAAGTACATACATGCGATCTGATACAAAGGGATTAGGAACATGTACATGTGATCTTATACAAAGGGATTATAAGAGATCTATTATAAAGTGGTCTTGTACAAAGGAACTATATACAAATACATGCGATCTTAAACACAGGGATTATGTACAAGTACATACATGCGATCTTATATAAAGGGATAAGGTAGAAGTACATGGAATCTTGTGCAAAGGGATAGGAGAGATCTATTATAAAGCGGCCTTGTACACAGGGACTATATACAAGTACATGCGATCTTATACAAAGGGATTAGGAGGGATCTATTATAATGTGTTCGTTTACAAAGAGACTATATACAAGTACATACGAACTTATACAATGGGATTAGATACAAGTATACACATGCGATCTGATACAAAGGGATAAGGTACAAGTACATGTGATCTTATACAAAGGGATTAGGAGAGATCTATTATGAAGTGGTCTTGTACAAAGGGACTATAAACAAGTACATATGATCTGATCTAAAAGGGATTAGGTACAAGTACATGCGATCTTATACAAAGGGATTAGGGGAGATCTATTATAAAGTGGTCTTGTACAATGGGACTCTATACAAGTACATGCGGTCTTATACAGAGGGATTAGGTACAAGTACATAAATGCGACCTTATATAAAGGGATTAGGTACAAGTACATGCGATGTTATACAAAGGGATTATGAGAGATCTTATATAAAGTGGTCTTGTACAATGGGACTATATACAAGTACATGCGATCTTATACAGAGGGATTAGGTACAAATACATACATGCGATCTTATAGAAAGGGATTAGGTTCAAGTACATGTGATCTTATACAAAGGGATTAGGAGGGATCTATTATGAAGTGGTCTTGTACAAAGGGACTATATACAAGTACATATGATCTTATCTAAAAGGGATTAGGTACAAGTACATACATGCGATCTTATATAAAGGGATTAGATATAAGTACATGCGATCTTATACAAAGGAATTATGAGAGATATATTATAAAATGGTCTTGTACAAAGGGATTATATACAAGTTCATGCGATCTTATACAAAGGGATTAGGAGATATCTATTATAAAGTGGTCTTGTACAAAGGGACTACTAGTATATACAAGTACATACGATTTTATACAGAGGGTTAGGTACAAGTATATACATGCGATCTTATATAAAGGGATTAGGAGAGATCTATTATAAAGTGGTCTTGTACAATGGGACTCTATACAAGTACATGCGGTCTTATACAGAGGGATTAGGTACAAGTACATAAATGCGACCTTATATAAAGGGATTAGGTACAAGTACATGCGATGTTATACAAAGGGATTATGAGAGATCTTATATAAAGTGGTCTTGTACAATGGGACTATATACAAGTACATGCGATCTTATACAGAGGGATTAGGTACAAATACATACATGCGATCTTATAGAAAGGGATTAGGTTCAAGTACATGTGATCTTATACAAAGGGATTAGGAGGGATCTATTATGAAGTGGTCTTGTACAAAGGGACTATATACAAGTACATATGATCTTATCTAAAAGGGATTAGGTACAAGTACATACATGCGATCTTATATAAAGGGATTAGATACAAGTACATGCGATCTTATACAAAGGAATTATGAGAGATATATTATAAAATGGTCTTGTACAAAGGGATTATATACAAGTTCATGCGATCTTATACAAAGGGATTAGGAGATATCTATTATAAAGTGGTCTTGTACAAAGGGACTACTAGTATATACAAGTACATACGATTTTATACAGAGGGTTAGGTACAAGTATACACATGCGATCTTATATAAAGGGATTAGGAGAGATCTATTATAAAGTGGTCTTGTACAAAGGAACTATATACAAGTACATGAGATATTCTACAAAGGAAAGAGATACACTTACATGGAATCTTATACAAAGATTTGCCATCCATGATATAGGAGGGTCTGGATTGGGCTCACAGAAAAGAGTATGATGGACAATAAAATACAGAAAAAAGACAAAAAAATAAGGAATAGAAAACAAACGGCCCCAAAATAAAGAATACAGAATAATGGGATGCAAAGATGTTTAAAAAGTAGAGAATAATGGGGTGCTAAAATATAAAGAATAGAGAAAAATGAGCAAAATAATAAAGAATATAGAAAAATGGCCTAAAAAGTTCAAGAAAACATAAATGGACGCCCCCTTTTTTAACTTTTGTTCCACACTGAGACTTTGTGGGGCAAATCATCTGACACAATTTAAATGAAAGCTCTCATATTTGATATGATTGTTTGCCATCATATGTAGTTGACCATATTGTCATTTTGATTTTACCATTTTTGCAGGAGCTACTGTCATATTTTGACTGTATAACAACAATCATTATGACACCTTGTGACACACCATTTGACACAGCGGCGATGAACATTTCGCCACGGCGTAACAATCTTGTTCAATCTAATGTTGGTATGGTGTTAAAATATTGCATTTAATTATTCTGTGATACTTTTAAGCAAAATGAAAGTAATTTTGTTTACAGATTTACTACCTTCAGAAATCAGCAAATCGCCTTGTGAATCTTGTAATGGTGTATTTCCCATTTGGTAATAGTGGTAAAAATTTAGATGAAAGCTTAAAAGCCCAATATCATAAGTATAAGACATAAAATGTTATATAGGAATCGAATTTACGTACATGAAGTGTAACTCTTTATTTAATTGTTTTGTTTTTGTTTTTGTTTTTTGTTTTTTGTTTTTTTTTTTTTGATAGACCAGCAGCTTAGATAGATAAAGCATCCCTTCTTTTCTGGAGATACAACACTATAAAAATATTTGTCTCTGAACTAACTAGACGATTAGACAATGGGAGTGTGGAGATAGAACAATGTAGTTCTGACAAAAATTCGTAGGGTGTAGAAATCTCGTATTATAGTTGTATAGGGAGACAGACCATTGCGCTTGATTATCAAATATATAGCTGTCTCAATTTTGAACAAAAGTATACCGTATGTTAGCTATACTAGGCTACGAGATAACAAAATGTGCAACAATTCAAAAGAGAAAACTAACCACCTGATTACAGCCAATAATATTTAACGAATTACAATCATGACAGATGACAACAAACGACAGCCACTGACAGCTTGAAACTTGTGAGGGAAACCTTTTCTCGTGAATATTTATAAAAGGATATGTAAGCGGTAAAAAAACCTCACAAACGACATCAAGAGGTCAACAGTAGACATGTGTATATAAACATTACTTCAAGCTCAAATTACTCCGAATATAGAATATATATATATAGTGGTGCGACGTTGCTTTGTTAACTGTTGAGATAGTTGGGTAGGAGTGGACTAAAAATAAGGGGGCAAACTTCTGGAATTGAAAAAAAGGTCTAATAGTGTATGAGTTAGTTTGGGTCCGTTTTCGTTTTCTTTACAATATTTTGATGTCATAAAAAGGGGGGGGGGGTAAAATATTGTTTTTCCCTACCCCTTTTTTCGTTCCTACGCAAACGGGTTGTGATTGTCTCAAACTGAAGATGTTGAAACATTTTTTACTTTACTTTAATTTTAAATACAAAATTCACATTATTTCAAGAAAATAAAAACTCTTAATTCAACATGGTTTTATTTTGAATTATGATGGGTTACAAAGTGGATTTTAACCCCTGATAAAATATTTGATAAATTTTATCATTGTTGTCACTAGACTTACAATACTGATTAACCTATACCTATACTTATGTAATTAGTTCAAAGTTGTTGCTGTAATCACATTGAATATAACATATGTAACAATCAATTATGCATCGAAATTTTAAAATTTCACTTGTTTGCTTTGCTGGAGTTATGACATTGTCAGGAATAGTAAACATGTTGATATTGTACTGGTACGGTAATACCGTCGTCATTTACGTCCCGGGACCAGTTATAAATCTGTTGGACAGGACTGGGTTACGGAAAGTAGAAATGAATGACAACGACGCAGGTGCATATAGTGAGAACTTGTCTGGTGATGGCCATCTTGGATTACAAAATGAAAAAATGAAAGTGTTGAACAAACGTAACTTGAATGTTCATGGACTTTCAAATAGAACTGGAAGATCTTTTCTAACACAAGTTTCAGAGTTTGAACCACTTATAGAACCAGACATTTGTAAACAACATGATAAAATCTTGCTTGCAATTCTAATATTCTCAAATCCATCCAATATTGAACGAAGACAAGTTATACGCGAAACATGGTTGTCCGACATAAAGTCTTCAATCCGATATGTGTTTGTTGTTGCAAGAAACACCAATTCAGATCACAAAAAGGAGCTGCAAGAAGAAATCGATGAACACAAAGACATTGTCCAGTTTGACTTTATTGACTCATATAAAAATTTAACGTTTAAAACAGTATCTTCCTTCAAATGGATTATCGCCGTCTGCCCACGAGCGTCTTATGTGTTGAAAATAGACGATGATATGTGGCTTAACAAGAAAGCTTTAACCAGTGTCCTTGAACATGGCGCAGTTAAGGGTTCAATTGGCGGGAACTGCCATCGCGGAGAACCACCAATTCGTGATCCAGGAAACAAGTACTATATTCCCTGGAGCAGCTACCCATACGGTATATATCCTCCATTTTGTTCCGGTACTGCGTACGTGGTTGATTTTCAAGTGATGAAAGGCATTGTTAATGTTTCTAAGGATGTTCCCTATTTTCCACTAGAAGACATTTATGTCGCTTTATGTATGACTAAACTGAAAGCGAAAGTTATTAATCTTTACGGATTTAATTCAGTTCGCGTTCGTGCAAATCCGTGTTGGTTAAAAAGCGACTGGCTCGTAACGACACATGAATTTTTACCTTTCGAGTTACGAAGAATTTGGAATACACAATGCTATGGGTTAAATCAGGTTAGGCAAGTCAAGGGCCAATTCGATCCGCAAATAAGAGGCTCGTTACATTTAAAAAGACAACAATTAAATAGGCTTAACATGGAACAAATGTTTCGACAAAACGCCAAGATGAATTTGAGATCTGGTGGAAGACGTTTTGTCAAAAGTCCAAGATTAATTTTCAATTAAATCGATATGGAACTTATCATTCTTACAAACATGATATGTTCTCCCCAGTTCACTGCTGATTGATTGATCCATGTTAATCGTACAGTGACATGGATATTCAGTACGAGAAACACGTACTATACAATAATTACCATAGGTAGCATTGCAAAGTTTTCGACCGAGATGAAGGACAGAATTTCGGACCACCACTGGAAAATGAGGAGAAGTAGGATACGGGCAGAAAATTTGCCTTTCAACATGCGTCGTTTTTACCCATCGAAGAAGAGTAGTAAGGACTTATACGTGCAGAGAACGAGGCACTCCCCCACACGGCATCGATGTCCCCAATCCGACCGGACGTGGCTGCGTATTGATATCCCGAATAGCCAAACTGACGCCTCCAACATAGGTTTTACTGCCGTTTGAGAAGCCAAGGTGGTCATATTTCTTAACACCAGCCAACCATTGGGTTAGTTCCATGTTAAATATATAGTTTTCCATGTTCTCGTACATATTTTCTCTGGACGTTTTAATTCCCCAAAAAAACCTTTCCGGATCGAGGCAAATTGGATTTGTTCGCTTTTTGACCGATGATTTATTTGTTTCCTCGTGATTCGTTCATCATTGAACGTTCGTACAAGTTTGACAATAAAACTTTGATTTATTTTTACTTTGTTTTCTCGTCGTTTTTTCTTTTTGTCATGGTTTTTTTTCCTTCCTTGATTTGCAAATTGTATTTCCCTTTTTAAGTAATACATGTATTGTTTTGGCTAAATATTGACTTATTTTTTTTATATATAAAAATACAGATTTATTCTTCATTAATGCCAGGTTACTACTGGCGAAAATTCCAGCAATTCTAATGCGAGTCATAATTTATTTTATTTTTTTCAAAATGACTGACCTGACTGTCTCGAAAATTTGCCTGATCTAGTCTTTGTTAATTGTTAAAGTACCTCATGCTATAGATGATGAATTTCATTCCTTCTTCCATTGCGAAAGAATGAAAATGTAAGAAGTACTAGTAACTTCTTATCTGAACTGGTCTATCTTAATACTGACTTTATGAGTTTCACTTACAAAAAAAGCTACAATATATACCTAATCCAACAATTCTTCAGCAGGTACAAATTAAGTCTCGGTTCTTTTTTAAAAAGGGCAATGGAACTTAGAAAAGGGGATTCTTGATTATCCAATTGTTGTGAAATTTGTTGTATATACTTTATATATTCAGAAACTGGGTTTTTTGTTTTTTTTTTCAAAAAATTACTACATTTGTAGATCAGGCTTTAAACTTCTTACAAAAGAAGATAACGGAGGTTGGGCGTTTAGCTTCTTTAAGAAACTATTGCTTTAATTTTTGATACAATGGAATTCTGTATCAATATCACGAGGATCAGTGGAGAACCCAAATGCAGATATGTGCTGGTGAAAAGCTTTGGCTCTTTCAAGACCATTTTAATATATCTGATTCTATTACGATCCCTAAGCGGAGAAATTTAACTCGAGTGTATATCATCACATAAATTAGGAACAAGGTTGTTACCAGGGTATTCCCAGACAAAACCGAGTATTCTCAGGTCCACCTCTGATGCAACCATTGTTTTGTATTTTTTTGTGCATTTCATCTCAAAATAAGAGAAACTGCGTGTATTGATGATTAACTCTCTGTCCTAACATTAAACCCTTGAGTTCTTTTATTAATATCGGTTTCAGATTTGATTTATGAATTCAAAAATATAGGGGAATCAAGCAATGGACAAAATTCTGAAAAATCTAAGGTAAAGGTACTCAAATTCAAGCCACTAACAAACTTCTGAAAAAATCTAAGGTATTCGTAACGATACCCAAATTGAGCCACTGACAAAACGCTAGTCAATCTAACGTAAAGGTACCTGACTCAAGACACAAGCAAAAATTTCTGGCAAATCAAGACACAGGCAAAATTCTGGTAAATCTCAAGTAAAGAAACTTAATCATGACACAAAATTCTTGAAAATGTAGATAAGTCAAGACATAGGCGAAATTCTGACAATCTAAAGTATATGTGCTTAAATCAAGACATTGGCGAAATTCTAGTAATCTAAAATATATGTGCCTAAATCAAGACATTTAAGGTACCTGACTCAAGCCACTAACAAAGTTCTGGTAAATCTCCGGTTAAGGTACCTTACTCAAACCACTAACAAAGTTCTGGTAAATCTCCGGTTAAGGTACCTGACTCAAGCCACTAACAAAGTTCTGGTAAATCTCCGGTTAAGGTACCTTACTCAAACCACTAACAAAGTTCTTGTAAATCTCCGGTTAAGGTACCTTACTCAAACCTCTAACAAAGTTCTGGTAAATATATAATGAAGGTCTCTGAATCAAGCTACCGACAAAGTTCTCGTAAATCTATGGTAAAACCTCTTAAAAAAGTCTGGTAAATCTCATGTACAATTCTTAATCAAACCACAAAATGTTGGTAAAAGAGAGGCACACGATACCAAAGGGACATTCGAACTCATACGTCGAAAACAAAACTGAAAACTCCATGGCTAAAAAAGAAAAAAAAAGAGAAAGATAAAAATACAAACTCCAGTACACAAAACACAACATAGAAAACTAAAGACTGAGCAACACGAACCCCATCAAAACCTGGGGGTGATCTCAGGTGTTCCGGGAGGGTAAGCTGATACTGCTCCGCATGTGGCACTCGTCGTGTTGCTCATGTAAGTACAAACCCGGTGATAAGTCTAATTCGGTCGGTTACATTCGGGAAAAAGAGGATGGGATTGTAATTACGACAACTGGAACATATCCGTCGTCATCTGTAAAACAGATATTCCATAACGGTCAACCAACTCGTGATGGCGTCCTTAAAATTTACGAAGGAATGATTTCAACTTCACCACTTGGAACTCTTGGTTTAGTAGCTTCCTTGTGAGCAGCAATCCTCTATCAAGGAAATCATGATAGGAAATAAAAGCCCTGGATTATCGTATCAACTGGGAAATATGTACTCTGTATACAGGCGCTGCTGGAATGTTGCTACATAGAAATGGAAAGTTCACAATTGGGAAGCTGAAATCATCTCTTTTGTCGTAAAGTTTTTTTTCAACCGACCCTCATTGCCAATTTCTAAATGTAATTCAAGATATGAGGCAGACTTACCTGTATCTGTTGTATCCTTTATCTCAAGTTCGATGGGATAGATGCGTTCAACATAGTCACCAAATTTTGAATTATTTAGTCAGAGAACATCATCTGTATAGCTGAAAGGGAAGTTAACTGATACTAATAAATTCTTTTCTTTCTTCATAAGAAGTTCCTGTATGAAGTCAGCCTAGCTCATGTGAATAAAGGAACAAGTCGACAAGAAGAGGAGCACAGTTGGTTCCCATGGGAATGCCGATTGTTTGTCTAAAAACACGTCCTCCAAACGTAACAAATATGTTGTCAATCAAGAAATCAAGCATATTGATAATGTCAGTTTCAGAGAATCTTTTGTTGGAATCAGAGTGATCATTCTTTTTGATGAAACATAGCAGGACAATTCTTTCAACTTGTCTTTTAGTTTGGAATGGGGAATACTTGTGTTAAGTGTAGAAAAGTCAAATGTTTTAATACTATTGCAAGATGAAAGAGTCTTACTTTGAATGTACTCTAAAAGATCTTTGAAATTTTTAAGTATCCACATCTGATTCACGCCACCTCTAGAAAAGGTAGTTTCACAATAACATTGAAGCCTAGCTATGATTGCTGATAAAATTGATGTTAATAATTTAGAAAGAAGTTTCGTGGAGCATTTGGAAGACCAAGTAATATAACGTTTTTTGTAAGGACACTTATGTAGTTTAGGTATCCAATACAGTGAAGGAAGATCCAGTTTTTCATTTTTGGTTGAAATTCCAAAGAAACATAGAAGAGACCTATGATTATCCAGGTCCTTGGTAAGTGTCGTGGGGATGTTGGCCAGGTCCTTGGTAAGTGTCGTGGGGATCTTGGCCAGGTCCTTGGTAAGTGTCGTGGGGATGTTGGCCAGGTCCTTGGTAAGTGTCGTGGGGATGTTGGCCAGGTCCTTGGTAAGTGTCGTGGGGATTTTGGCCAGGTCCTTGGTAAGTGTCGTGGGGATCTTGGCCAGGTCCTTGGTAAGTGTCGTGGGGATGTTGGCCAGGTCCTTGGTAAGTGTCGTGGGGATCTTGGCCAGGTCCTTGGTAAGTGTCGTGGGGATGTTGGCCAGGTCCTTGGTAAGTGTCGTGGGGATCTTGGCCAGGTCCTTGGTAAGTGTCGTGGGGATGTTGGCCAGGTCCTTGGTAAGTGTCGTGGGGATCTTGGCCATGTGTTGTTAGTTGTCTTTATTTGCTCATCTTTATGTTCTGGGAGGAGATGGACCATTCCTCATCTGGCAGGATGTCCCCCTCATCTTTATTGTCTGGGAGGAGATGGACCATTCCCCATCTGGCAGGATGTCCCCAACATGCTCAACATAAACATGAAACTTAATAAAAAGACTGTTATTTTTCTTGTTTGAATTGTTTCACATTTTTCATGATGGGCCCTTTTATAGCTGACTATACAGTGTGTATTTTTCAAATTGTTGAACGCTGTACAGTGGCTTATAATTGCTTACATTCACTTCATTTGAAAGCTAGTGGACAGATGTCAGTGATCGAACAACAGTATATTGATATCCTCAAATTTGTAAATCATCCTCAAAATCATGATCAGCCTGAAAAGAATTAAAAGAGAAACTAACAGCTAAATATGAATTCCAATTCAGATTATGGAAAGAAAACAAAATTTCTCAATATTTAAAAGAAAAAATTAGAAATTAGTGTCATTCCGAAATAGACAGGGTCGTCAAGTTGGTTACTTTTTCCTTATTCCTTATTTGTTACTTATTCCTTATTCGTTACCTATTCGTTACTTATTCCTTATTCCTTATTCGTAACTTATTCGTAACTTATTCCTTATTCGTTACTTATTCGATTTTAATATGTTTCCCCCTTTTAATGATAGTTCTTGGTTTATTGAGGTGAAATTCCCCTTTTAGCGCGTAGGTATCCGTTTTTGCACTCGCTTGTTCCCATGTTACTTTTTCGCTACTTATTCGTTCCTTATTCGATTTGTATACGTTGCACCTTTGAATTGCTTTATTTTCGTGTCTCTGGTGTTGGTTTTTGGTTCTTAGAGGTGAAATAACCCTATTTGCGCGTATGTACCCGTTTGAGCGCTCGACTGATACAATTACTTATTCGCTACTGATTAGTTCCTTATTCACTTTTTATACATTGCATCTTTTTAATGCTTTCTTTTATTTTATTTCCTTGTCTCTAGTGTTAGCTGTGGGTTTGTAGATAGGAAAGAACCCTATTAGCGCATATGTATCCTTTACAGCGCTCGACTGATACCCTGTTACTTATTCGTTCCTTATTCGTTTGTATTACGTTTGTTATAGTTGCACATTTAAAAAAAAAAATCTTTTCAATTTTTTTCTTGTCTCTGGTGCTAGCTGTGGGTTCGTAGAGGTAAAAGCACCCTTTTAAACGGGATTTAACTCCTTTTTATAACTTGAGCGCGTATGCCTGGGGCGATTTGGCAATGGGACGAGTTGGTATTGATTCAAACTTACCTTAGTACTGTTCATTACTATCCTCTGCATTTATAGTGTACTGAACTCGAGTTACAATATA